TTCAATTTTTTTAACTCTGCCTATGGGCTCTGTCTGTTGCTAGCAGTCTGTTCCAGTGGGTGCCTCCTGAGATACCGTTAGCTACACATTATGTTTTACCACTGCAATTTCCTGTCATCAGTGGGATGCCCTCCTTTGTGCAAATTTAGTTCTTGATATATTGCTGGCTCTTACATTGTTGTTGCTTTGGGTCATGTTTCTCCTCCAGTGCTTTTGTACTTGTTGTTCTGCAATAAAATACTTGCAGGAGAAGGATTTTTATTAATAATCAAAATCGGGAGCATATTGCAATAAGGGAGGATACAAAACACTAATGGAAATGGGTTGAATATAGTTATAGTGTAATAAAATTTGGAATGTTGACTTCAAGTTCTTCATTTCAAGTAAGTACACTTGATAGCAATGTTGCAGCAATCAAGTTACACACAGACATACAGTACAATGATAGTACAGTACTTACCTGGTAAGTCTCTTTTCCAGCTAGATTTTTCTACAGCCTCCTCTCTGAGGACACCAGGAGACAAGCCTGGTTGGCCTATTCTGTAGGATGAGATCCGTCAAACAAGTCTGAAATTCTTTCCTGATAGCTACAATGTTGCCCTAAATAATCCAATGACTGGAAGTTCTGGCTGTTCCCCTTTGCCTCCCCACTCCATAGTCAGAAAAATGTATGCTAAGCTTACATGTCTATGTCAAGGTGCTTACAAGTTTATAGGAAAGCCAGTTGTGGGACAAACCTCAGGTTGCTTCTGTACATCTGAGCAGCCTCTTAGGTCAGCAGTAACTTTAGGGTATGGTAGAGCTACAACTGGTAGAGAAATCTGCAGAATGATTAGACAGAATCCTTACCTAGCCCTGTGTACCTTAGTAGCTGTTGTGGTAGCTATTCCAGCAGGAATAAGGAGGGTCCTTATAGGGAAAAAATCTTGCCCCCCTCCCATCCTACTGCTGCTGTTGCACACTCCTATCTCCATTGTCTTACATGACTCCTATTCCGTAGTTTTGGTAAATCTGAAGAAAACTGTATGGAAATTGTACAATCCGATTGCATAGTGTACGGCCATCTTTTTATAAGTACATAGGAGAGAGTGGACAGAAACACTCAGTTGACAGGTCCCGATCACATCTCCATGTAGTGAAAATTCCCGCATGCATTTGTTTTGGAGCAGTTTCACTCATCACACATAGGGCAGCCCATTCACTTGAACGGGCTGTCCTATACACAACAATCACCCCAGAAAAGCTCCAGAACTTTTTTTGGAGTGGAGTATGGTGTGTTACAGTTTTTGGTGCGTTTGCCGCACTTGGGGTGCCTTTAACATGTAATGACAACACAAACATAATGCACATTTGCACCGTATTTCTGAAACGCATGGCAAAGCGCACATTTTCTGTTTAGATTGCCATACGTTTGGAAACACACAGATGTGAATGGAGCCTCATTGTTCTTGTGTAAACAACCCAATTTCACTTTCAGGTCCCAATCACACCTAGAGTAGTGGAAGCACACTTTGTTTAGCGTGTTTTTCCAGTGACACACAGAGGGCAGCCCGTTGATTTCAATTGGCTGCACTTCACATGGCATAGTAGCTCGTGGGCCATTTTGGCATGGTGCGAGTTGCATGTTTTTTTACTGCATGTTTTGTTGCATTTGTCACCCGGTTTGTTATGTGGCAAAATGTGTGCTAGTTTCTGTGTTTAGTGTGCCGTTAACAATTACTGACACTGAAAGCGCAACTATGTAATTTTAGGTGTATAAATGTGTCCATACACTATACAATCTGATTGTATGATCTCTGTACAATCTCCTTTAGATTTACCTAATCTATATAATAGGAGGACACATCATCTATCCAATTCAAGTAAAATTCTCGGTACTAGGTACTTTTTCACTAGGTCCACACATTTGTCTGCTATTTCAGGATCTTCATGGCTCACTCATTTTTGCAAGGCAGTGGGGAGAGAAATTTGTCCAAACCACCTGTTCCATAGTTTTTGGTCCAGACAGAAATGTCGGCTGCAGCCATTTCCTGGTCAAATAAATAAGGTCATACATTTGTGACTAGGGTGGTTTTTTCCAGTTGATAGCTCCAATTTTGTACATGCTGAGCCAAGGCAGCCAGGGTTACACCCAGCCATGCCAATATTTCAGTTTTTAATGATCATAGTTCTTGGCCTCCACAGGTTCGAGTTCAAAGTAAGCCCTTTGGGACTCCCCAGATAGTAGGGGGGCCATTAGTCCAGTCCATTGTTCTTTAGGCCAACTTTTTTTCAGCTGCCTTTTCAAATGTGGTCAGAAACATTTCAGGGTCATCATTGACATTAATGTTTGGTAGCAGGTGGCTTACCGGGATCACTCATAGCCTCGGTCTGCTGCCTCTGCTGAAATTGTTTTATGATGACCTCAATTTGTTGTTGGTGTTTCTGTTCCTGCTGTGCCAGCAATTTCCTATAGCAGGCCTCTGCCTGTTTCAGGGCTTGTTGCTGGGTTGCCAAGCTCTGTTTGTGGCCTGTGGTTGGGCTGCAAGGTTTCTCTTGCAGAGCTTGCTGTTGAACTGCAAGTCTCTGTTGTAAACTTGCATTTGTCTGCTGTTGATTTGCGTCTGCCAGAACAAGCTGTCTCAGTAGTTCCTCCATGCTGGCCTTACTTCACCTGCCTGCAAACCTCCACCATATGTGAGGAATTAGCTCAGTAGCAGGTTGTGCGTGACTCCCTGGATGGGTGAAAAAATGAAAAAGGAACAACAGGACAGCAGAATCTTGGTTAAACACAATTGTGGTGTATTTACAATATCTATGTTTACAAAGTGCAGGTATCAAAACTGTAAAATGAGAACAAAACAGAAAATAAACCCTTGCCACCTTGGGCATCTAACTAAAAACACAAGAATCTGTTTGTCCTGAAACAGCCTACCGCGCTGCCCAGGCCACTGACCGTCACATAGAATGAATACTTATTCACACAGACTAATGCAGGCCATAGATGGGTCGAAAATCGGCCGATTTTTTTGCCCGAAAATAAAATTGGCCGATTTTCGGATCGTTAGTGGGTTAATTGTTCGGCCGTTTTTCGGTATTTTGGCAGATTTTTTTTATCGGTAAAGTTGGAAAAAGATCGGCCGATTTTGCCGATCGGCCGATTTTCGCAGCAATTATGGGCAAATCGGCCGATCTTTTTACTGATAAAAAGTCTGCACATGAGCAGTTACCTGCAAGAGGAAGACAAAAAGAAGAAGAAGAGGATGAAGAAGAAGAAGAGGATGAAGAAAAGGAAGAAGAAGAAGAAGAGGATGAAGCAGAAGAAGAGGAAGAAGAAGAAGAGAAGAAGAAGAAGGAAGAAGAAGAAGAGGATGAAGAAGAAGAGGATGAAGAAGAGGAAGAAGAGGAAGAAGAAGAGGATGAAGAAGAGGAAGAAGAGGAAGAAGAAGAGGATGAAGAAGAGAGGAAGAAGAAGAAGGATGAAGAAGTAGAGGAGAAGAGAAGAAGAAGAAGTAGAGGATGAAGAAGAAGAAGAGGATGAAGAAGAAGAGGATGAAGAAGAGATGAAGAAGAGGATGAAGAAGAGGAAGAAGAGGAAGAAGAAGAGGAAGAAGAAGAGGATGAAGAAGAGGATGAAGAAGAGGATGAAGAAGAAGAGGATGAAGTAGAAGAAGAGGAAGAAGAAGAAGAGGATGAAGAAGAAGAGGATGAAAGAGAATTCCAGTCCGGCAAAAAGTGTCCCTGCAGAGAGCTCCGCTATTTCTTTGACAGTTCTTTGACATTTGTAACGGTTGCAACAATGTATCTATTTGTTTCCGAATAAAAACATCTGTATCCTAAATGGATACAAATAGATACATTGTTGCAACTGCTATAAATGTCAAAGAACTGTCAAAGAAATAGAGGAGCTCTCTGCAGGGACACTTTTTGCCGGGTGTAGACGAGATGAAAATCGGCCAATTTTTTTTACCGTTCCTGGTAACGTCGGCCGCTTGAACGATCGATTTTTCATTTTTTTTAAAGAAAAATCAGCTGGTTTTCTCTCCCCATCTATGGCCTGCATTCGCCTCACTACATGGAGAAATTACTGCTCCCCAGTCTGTCTTACACAGAGATCTGGTTACAGAATGAAACATCCTTTCTAAGCAGTCTGGGAGTTTTATAGAGCCCATAACCTGCTTTAGCTGAGCTCGTTAACCCCTCAGCGAGCCAAGCAAGCTCACTACCCAGCACAAAAAGGAAATATTTTGTATAGTGCATACATCTTGGACAAATATATCTCCCATCCTGGGCACAACCAATTGTTTTTCCTGGCTTTCTGTTACAACTCTTTCTGCCACAAGCAGTGCCTAGGTCCTTCACAGTATGGCCTGCTAGGTCATTGATGATTCATAGACAAACATTATTCTGCAGCATAGTATACCATCCTCAAACTAACAAGAGGAAAGCTCAAAACTCACCTTAAAAAGTATGATTTTACTGAAAGGGTAGTGTATGCTTGGAATAGACTTTCAGCAGAGGTAGTGAGTTAAGTGGCTCTGCAGCTTATGCATGTATATGCAAATGTGTGCAAACTAAACTTCTGTTTTTACATGAACTGTTAGATAGGACAATTCAGTTTGTTGAAGGCTGCCTGGTAAGTTGAGCTGGAATTTTCTTTGTTATTGTTTGACATGAGTCGCCCTTCCATGTGCTCCTTGCTGAGAAGGCCATTTATAGGTTGGAGCAGTTGCTTGTTTGTTTATACCATTGGTAATTTGGTGGGGAAGGGGGGCACACTGGACACCTTTGCTGCTATCGTGCTATATGCTGGGCGTCCAGTGCGCCCCTTTGCCTTTAACCACCTCCCGCCCGCCATATAGTCCAATGACGGGCGCAAGGTGGTTCTCTCATTCTGAGAGGACGTCATATGACGTCCTACCATTCTCACCGTGCATGCGTGGCTCAGGGAGCGCGCAGCGTGGCGATCAGCAGTGCGCTGTGTCCCTCGGACACAGCGGATCACCGATCACAGAAAGAGCCAAAGATGTCGGCTCGGTCATGTGATCAGCTGTGTCCAATCACAGCTGATCACATGTAAACACGGAAATGCCGGTTATCGGCATTTCTCTCCTCTCGAGCTGTCACACTGTAATTGGCTTTCCGCGGAGGGGACATGTACACTGATCATCAGGGCACTGATGATCAGTGTGCCATGATGATCAGTGTAGCCCCAGCAGTCCCACCTGTCAAAGTCCATCAGTGCCAGCTGTCAGTGCCGATCAGTGCCACGTGCCAGTGCCTATCAGTGCCACATCAATGCCACATATCAGTGCCCATCTGTGCTGCCTTTCAGTGCCATCCATCAGTGCCAGTCAGTGCCACCTATCAATGCCAATCAGTGCCACCTATGAGTGCTGCCAGTCAGTGCCACCTATCAGTGCCAGTCAGTGCCACCTATCAATGCCAATCAGTGCCACCTATGAGTGCTGCCAATCAGTGCCACCTAACAGTGCCAGTCAGTGCCACCTATCAGTGCCAGTCAGGGCCGCCTATCAGTGCCAGTCAGTGCTGCCTATCAGTGCCATATATCAGTGCCATGTATCAGTGCTGCCTTTCAATGCCCATCAGTGCCACCTAAAGTGCCTCCTCACCAGTGCCCATCAGTGCCACCTATCAGTGTCCATCAGTGCAGCCTATCAGTGCCCATCACTGCAGCCTCATTAGCGCACATCAGTGAAGGAGAAAAATCACTTATTTACAAAGTTTTATAACAAAAACTAAGAAAAAACTTTTTTTTTTCAAAATTTTCAGTGGTTTTGGTTTGTTTAAGAAAAAATAAAAAACCCCGATGTGATTAAATACCACCAAAATAAAGGTCTATCTGTCACAAAAAAATGATAACAATTTCATATGGGTACAGTGTTGCATGACCGCGCAATTGTCACTCAAAGTGCAACAGTGCTGAAAGCTGGAAATTGGCCTGGGCAGGAAGGGGGTATAGGTGCCCTGTAGGCAAGTGGTTAAGGAGGGGTGGGCTCCCTACAGGCATTCCTGCTCTCAACCTATTTATTATTATATATGTGCTTCTACTTTGGAGATCCTCAAAATGAATAGAGTTAGGACTGCAGATAATACTGGGATGCCATGAAGTGGCTCTGCAGCTTACACATGTATTTGCAAAGGGGTGCAAACTAAACCCACGTTTTTTGCTTGGACTGTAAGACAAGACAATTTGGTTTCTTGCAGGCTAGCTTGTAAGTTGATCTGAGAATTTTTGTTTGTCATTTTTTGACATGTGTCTCCCTTCCAAGTGCTCCTTGCTGCAAAGGACAGTTATTGGTTGGGGCTGTTGCTGTTTGTTTGTACCAGAGGTAGTAAGTCAGACTATTATTATTATTAGTACTTATATAGTGCTGTCAATTTACGCAGCTCTTTACATATATATGTATATATATAGATATATATAGTATATTCACATCAGTCCCTAACCCTCAAGGAACACACAATCTAAGGTCCCTAACTCACATTCCTACAAAGTAGTGCCAATTTAGACAGGAACCAATTAACCTACCAGCATATCTTTGGAGTGTAGGAGGAAACTAGATTACCCGGAGGAAACCAATGCAGGCACAGGGAGAACATGCAAATTCCAGGCAGGTAGTGCTGTGGTTAGGGTTCGATCCAACGACCCTAGTAATGCCAGGAGGAAGTGTTAACTATTTAGCCACTGTAAATGGCTTCAAACATAACTATACTTAGACAAAAAAGTAAAAAAAAAACACAAAAACATGTATAAATAATTCTTAGAAAGAGACAGATTTCATGAACTACTTGGACTTTTTCTGCTGTCACTTTTCTATGTTTCTATCCTTTGGGATGAGACTGGACCATTTACTCAGCAGTTTTTTGTTTCCTGGTAGTAGCTTTGATTTTTCTTTGAGACTGCATAGCCTTTATTAGGGGGCTAAGGCCGAGGCCTCTCTCTGTGTCTGTACCCTGTTATACTCTTAAAAAAAACATAGATGAGGTTTACCTTAGGCCTATTCCTGGCTTTTTCTTTACATTTTTGGTTCTGGGATGAGGAGTTATTCCATTTTGCCATTTCACTGCTTGATTCCTGGCAGTGGGGCATTCTAGTTTAATTATAATATAAATAAAGGAGGTGCAAGCGCCTTAAATAAAATAAACCAAAAAAGCTGCTGTGCACAAAAAGGTAACCAATAGCACCCTAAAACATAGATAGTAGACAAGAAAGTGCAGCGCTGGATTAAATAAATCGTCCAAAAGACTCTGCGTATACAATCACTAATATCACCAAATAAAATAATTCAATCTAAAATCAGAGATTGGTAAAATCAAAAAGTTCCAATGTAAACAATATGTAAAATGACTCTCGTATTTAATGACTCTGGATCCGGTATCAGTGCAGTAGTGGTAAAGGTAATGCGCACTCACCGGACGCGCATAATTATTGTGCCTTATGTTATAATCCAGATGTCATCAGACAGGTATTATGTAGATGGACTTCCCTCTCAGAGATGGTGGGTCATCAGGTTAGCTGTTATGGGGTTGGATTTTTATGAATTTTAGAGAGGATGTATAAGACATAAGGCACAATAATTATGCGCGTCCGGTGAGTGCGCATTACCTTTACCACTACTGCACTGATACCGGATCCAGAGTCATTAAGCACAAGAGTCACTTTATATATTGTTTACATTGGAACTTTTTGATTTTACCAATCTCTGATTTTAGATTGAATTATTTTATTTGGTGATTTTAGTGATTGTATACGCAGAGTCTTTTGGACGATTATTTATTTTAGCGCTGCACTTTCTTGTTTACTATTCTAGTTAGCCATCCCAGGGAAACATGGCAATTTTAACCTTATTCCCCCAGGGGAGTATGTCACACTGCTTAATAGGAGAATAGTAGGCAGTAGTGATAAAGTTCCTAGTTGAGTAAGGATAAGCTACACTAAGGAAAGTGAACTTGGCTGCAGTATCTGCAGTATTCCAACTCTTTGTGCCTGTTTCTGAAAAAAAAAAAGGTATCGGCTGGTGTCTATAGAGAGCTGTATGAGATATTTGACAGTGCTCGTTCCTACTATTTTGACACTAGACAAAAGAGCTGTCATGTCGAAGAAGGTGGTCACATGTCCTACCATACCCAGATGCAATGGCCTGCCAGTTGAAATAAAGCAGGTAGTGGCACATGATCACTAACATGGTAAATACAGTATTAGTAGATCAAGGAGAGACTGTTCACAGACACTGGCATTTTGTCATAAATGAAAAACTGTCAGTGTCACCTTAAGCATCAATAAAGGTTCATATTTAAAACACAAATCCATTACTAAATGCAGAAAAATTCAATAAAAAGTCTTAAGAGTCAGAAAATTATAACAAAAAAAATCTTTATTAGTAGATGTTTATACTCACAATTACAAACCTCCTGCCAGTTCTATTGATTTCTTGTGGAAAAAAAAATCCATACCTCCCACCATTTAAGCAAATCAGTTCAAATCACACCATTTGCATTCAAATGAAATGACAAGGTTACATGAGGTGAGCTGTCAGCATTGCATTTGTAGTTTTATGTGTAAACATTTATTTATTTATATCCATTTATTTATGAAACCAAAAACTAAATTATTTTTAAAAAGTGAGGCTGTCATGTTTTAACAATCATATGAAAAACAAAAATACTATTTTTGAAGAAAAAAAAAATCAATTCTTTCATGTAAAATACAGGTTTAGTAATACTTTAAACAACCTCATATGATCCTCTTCACTTGGGATAGGGTTTGGGTTTGGCCAAGTGCAGGGTTCAATCAAAGCATATTCGGCTTTCTGAATTTTTTTTTTTCTGCTACCAATAAATTATTAATTCTTGCTGTGTAGTCAGTTTCCAACATCTTAGCAACCACTATCCCACCAGCTACTAACTTGAAAGAAACCAGTGGCATCCCAGAAGACAGCATTGACCAAATTTAGTAATGACAAATATTTGGTCGATGAGGTCAGAGACATCCCAGCTTCTCTGTTTAATTTCACCTGTAAGCTGTCAATTGAGACATGCAGTCCATCAGGATTGTATTGTCTTATGCACCATTTTTTTTTTTTACTTTTTATTTTTACAGATCTTCAGGATCGTCAGTACATCATATTTTTATTTTATTTTTTTTTTTCTAAATTCACATTGTTTGGCCATTACTCCAAAAGATCCACAAGCGGGGGGGGGGGGGGGGGGGGGAGGGGGCAAGGCCTCCGTAAATGGGGATTGGGTGCTTTGCCATGGGTGCCTCTGCTGGCAAGGTACACTCCCTAGATTGAGAGCATGTGGCTCAGGAGAAATCCTATGTAATTTTTTTTTTTTTACATGGGGCACCCCATAAGATTTGGTATGGATTTTGATAAGGCCTCATGTTGTTTTTTGTTTTGTTTTAAAATCCATACCAGACCCTTTTCAAGGATAAGAATTTGATATTGATTTTGGAAGGGAATGGGTGCTGTTTTTTGTCATTTAGCTTATTGGTCTGATATGATATAACAGCAGGTTCCATTATAAAAAAAAGAAGCTTGGCTGTCTAGGAAAAGGGGGCCAGCAAGCATGAGCCCACCTCCCCGAACCCCCCCGAACCATACCAGGCCATAAGCCCTCAACATTGGGAGGGTACCTTGTCAGGGGCAATCCTGGTAAAGCACCTTCTTCCCTTGTCCCCATGAGGGCAAGGGCCTTTTTACCACAGATAAATAAAAGATTATGTGAACAAAGTGTCCACCAAAAAGTGGTTACAAGAAGGACCAATGCGGTAAACCATGCATAAATATTTAGAAAAAAACTATGCTTATTATTATTATTATAGTATTAAGTATATATACATAAAAAATGCCAATCATATCTCGAAAAAACAACTGAATAATACATCAATATCCATCACCTCACCCCAGACAATGTTGTCTGTTCCCCTTAAAATCAAATAGAATGAACCATGATGTCACTGTATGGCCTTATGTTTAGAAGTATAATTAGTCAGCAGGGGTGGACTGACAACTCATGGGGCCCCCGGGCAATAGGGGATCATGGGGCCCCTATGTCCTTGCCCACACTCAAACCACACCCAAATAAGCCCATGAAAGGTACCAGGGGCATCTCATGGGGCCCCCTACTGACCCCAGGCCCTCGGGCAGTGCCGAGTTCCCAAATGGTCAGTCCGCCCCTGTTAGTCAGGCAGCGACTAAAACTCCAGACATCTGTCAGGCTACTACTCACCACCCCATGGGCTATCCTCTCTAAAATGTTGAAAAATAATGGAAGAACTATAACATGATTGCAAAAAAACTATCCAAATTGGCTGTATAG